CCTTATTGCAAATTGGAGTCCTTGTAAGATGGTATCCCAAAAGCAAATGGATCTTGAGTTTATAAAATTTATACTTTTCAAAAGTAAGCCACTATCTTAAGAACAAAGGAACCAAGGAGAGGAGAAAGGGACCAAGGGAACGGAGAGAAGGAGGGGAAAATAAGAGGGAGAGGAAAACAAAAGGGAGGAGATTACAGGTCTGGGCAGCTGGGAGGGTCTGGTCCCTGGATGAGATGAGACCCACACAAGCCCTCTGCTGGGCGCATGCTGCAGGGACACAGAACTCAGCAGAATTTGCTCCTGGGAAAGCCAGACCTACTTGAGCGGAAACAGTAATTGCTGTTAGATAATAAGCCCAAGTGTAAGATACCAAGGATCACACTATCACGGGGGATGAACAATGAAGGACTGTTCAAGACAATCACTTCTGAGTGGCGTACAGGACCCCCTCCCCTGGGAGCCATCTCCTGATGCCCACCCTGTCAGTGTAGCTGTTCTTGGGGGCTTCCCTCCAAAGGTCAAAGTGGTGGGAAAGCTGTCACTCTGCAGTGTGACCTCCAGCAGTGAGCAGCGACAGATGTCTTTGATGTCACCCTTAATGGACGCTCTACTTCCCGACCTTCCTCCCCTCACAATCCACGACTTCCACAACTCCAACCTAATCTCAAGAAGAACAGGCAAGTCCTCCCTGAGACTGGAGGCACACGCTTGTGATCCCAGTGCTCTGGAGGTGGAGGTAGGGGGTCAGAAGTTCAAAGGCATCCTCAGCTACATAGCAAGTTTGAGGCTAGCCTGGAATAGATGTGACCCTGTCTCAAAAACAAACAAATAAATAAAACTTGGCATTGGCTTATCCAGATGGCTTAGTGGATAAAAAAGGGCTTGCTGTGCAAGGCAGGCAGCCAGAATCCAAACCCCAGTACCTACCTAAAGGTGAAAAGAGAGGACACACTCCACAAAGTTGTTCTCTGGTCTCCACACTGAGGATGGCAGGCACCCCCCCCCCCATATACACACACAGAGTAAATAAATGGATCGGGAGGGCAGGGGAGTGTTTTTAATTAAAGCAAAACTTGAAACTGACCTTGGAAGCCCAATGATTACAGGAGTATAGGATATGCAGCATGACACTATCTACATTTAATTCATTTATTTACTTTTTAAAAACAGGGTTTCCTCTGTGTAACAGCCCTAGCTGGCTGTCCTGGAACTCGATTTGTAGAGCAGGCTGCCCTCAAACTCATAGAGATCCTCTAGCCTCTGCTGGAGTTTAAAGGCATGTGCCACCAAGCCCAGTCTTAACTTTTTTTTTTTTTTTTTGAGGGAGTCTGTAACCAAGACTGGCCTGCAACTCACTCACTATGTAGCCCAGGCTTGCCTCAAACTTGAAGCTTCTGCCTCCCAAGTGTGGGGACTAGAGGCATAAGCCACCATGCCCAGCTGCTATCTACACTTCTGCAGGAATTTGA